CGCGACCTCTTCAAGGGATTGAAGTTATGTCGTTAAGAGTAAATCTAAGGGATAGAACGTGCGACTGCGGGTTTTTTCAAGATCTGAAATATATATGCTCTCATGTGATAGCAGATTGCTCTCATACACGTCAAGACTATAACCATTTTGTGGATCATGTATACCTACTATCTGAAGTTTTTAAGGTATACGAATTTGAGTTCCCCCCATAGGTAATGACAAAGACCCCGTTGAGGTTCAAGATTGGCTTCCGATTGTACCAAATCCGAGTTTATTGAGGGAGTGTGGTCGTCCAAAATCTAATCGAATTCATTGCGATATGGATATTCGAGAAAGATCTAGACAAGACAAAAGATGTGGGCATTGTAGAAACTCAGGAAACACTAGAAAAACATGTCCACTTTTGTTGTCATCAAGTAACAATTGATGAGGAAATGATGTAGTTGTTTATCAATTAATAATTATTGTACTTTAATTTGAATTTACTTCAAGTTAATATTATTCGATAACCGCTGATGAAGATTAAAAAAAGATACAATTATACGAGATTGGACGTTGCCGTTATATTAACAAATAACTGATATTAACGATACAATAAGTATTAAATGGTAAATGATAACCAAATTACAATAACTAATATTAAATGGTAATAAACAAAATTAAGCAAAATAAATTAACAAAAGTCCAACAAATTTATCAAAATAAATTAAAATAAATTCAACCATATTAACGAATTAAAGTAAGTATTAAATGATAAGTAATAAAAAATTACAATAAAAAAGTCCAATAAACAACTACAATAAAAAGTACTAAATACAAATATAATAAAAAAAAATCTATCGATGCCTGCGATGCGAATGTGTTCCGCAAGGCGGTGGCTGTCGGTCTCGAGGAGGATTTATTCGTATCACTGGTTGTGACTCCTCGCTGACATCATCATCACCATCATCATCGTCGTCGTCGTTGTCCTCGTCGTCCTGAGCACCATAGAATAAGGACCCTGGAGGTGTATGACTAACTATCCCACCGGCCTGCGAAAACTGGGAAAACTCATAAAACCCAGACATCGCTGAGTATGAAAACTGTACAGGAGGTGTCTGTGCTGCGGCCATGGGTGATGAGGCTAAACCCGCCAAATATTCAGTATATGAACCCCAAGTCGAATCTACAAACATAGACCCATAAAAGCCTCAAGGAGGGGTTTTATAACTCTGTGAAGGTGGCGGCGACGGGGTCATAAAACCAGGTGATGGTGATGGCGATGGCATCGGGTAAGGGAATGGCGGTGGCGGTATAACATATGGTTACGGTATGTAAGTCGTTGTAGACGGTGGCTGCTGTGAAGGTCCTGCTGGTGCAGTTGAGGATGAACCGGAAGCACTTGCTCTCCGTCCACGAGTCGGGGGACGATGGTGTTATGTCGGTGAACGTCTCTATCGATGTCGTGGAAAGGTCTGCCCTCTTGCATCCTCGGGAAGTAGAAACGATTTCCTATTTCTGTTGAACCACTCATAATAATCATCACCAATCGTCAAGTCATCAACATAAATGGGCTCTTTATGGGGAAGGCGCCGATGTCGATCCTCCCACAACACGACCTACTTATAATGCCTCACCAGCCAATCTGTATCGGTCTTGTCGCGTCTATCTGTGGCATGCAAGTCGTCCATATTGCGAGGTGCTTCCGGAATTGGTTGAAAACAACCAAATTATCGGAGCACGCGATCAGTGGAGTGCCACTCGACGGTCGCATAACATATCAAAGGGGCCATCACCATCCAAACATCTGACGGGCCCCTCAACTCAGGTGGGATCACCGTCCTCACATCATCATTAGAATATGGCACCCATTCAAACTAAAACAAATATATATAATTTTTACCAAAATAATAATCTAATTATATAACTATAATCTGAAATTGATTTTTAAACATTTAAATTCATACTTGTGTGTCAGCCTTCTGATCGATGAGCACCCTAATTTTTTCTAAATCATCAAGTAGCTCCTGATGATTTTTCCTATCAGTGGACCACCTATTCAAGAAAAAAATTTATTATACGCTATATAAAATGATTAATATACGAAATCAGTTTTATAATTACCTCAAGAGTAGCAGAAATACGAATGGGTTCATCACAACGGGACATAAAAAGGGCAATCGATACCATGCCCAAGATTGCAGCAGGAGGAGACATCCGCCGATAGCATTTCTCTTGTAGTCAATGGCTTGACACATCTTCCTGTACAATAAAGCCAAAACTGTCGAGCCCCAACTGAGTGATCCGACTAGATGAAAGTCGACAAGATGTCGCAACCACATACAGTGAACTTGGTTATGCGATTTGTCTGGCATCAACAACCCTCCTATCAGTTGCAGTATGCATGCCCTGGCATACATTTTAACTTCATCATCTGACGCGTCCTCGCTCAACTCCCGAAAATTGGCATATAACCAATTTAACGGTATCCGACCACCGTTAAAACTTTCCGGGACGCGTCCTATATTATCCCGACACAAAGCAATCCAGGAACCCTGCGCGATCCCCGATATCACATCTCCATCCACCGGAAGCCCCAGGTGCATAGCAACATCCTCAAGTGTAATCGTGCACTCTCCGCACGGAAGATGGAATGTGTGGGTCTCCGGCCTCCACCGCTCTACTAAGGCAGAAATAAGGTCTGATTCTATTTTACAGTGACCCTAATATTTACCTATGTAACCGAATCCAGCCTCTACTAAATACGGCAAGACATGGCTAGGTATCACTAACTTAAGATTCCTAATAAATGGATCTAATACACTATCCTTCTTTTAAAATTAAATAATTACAAAAATTAATTCTTAATCTAATAATCATGCATTAAATAAATCAACAAATAATTACTAATAATTTAAATTAAATTAAAACGTTAAAATGTTACTGTATCAGCAAAGTGTCGAGATATATGATTTCCATCCAAACGAAGTAGACCGTCTTCCATTTTATATATGCAAAAAATTAATTAAATAAAATATTAAATAAATTAAATACTTAAATAAATTAAATACAAAATATTAAAAATATAATAAAATATACCTTAGATAGAGATTATAAGAGTATTTGAGAGAAGTTGAGAGAATTTGGTATGATGAAAGTGATTGAGGATGGGGGTATTTATAGGGAGGGATTGAGGTGTGAAACGTCGGGGTAGGTGAGTAATTATACCCAAGGCGTGCCGCAGGGGGCGCGCCTTACTGACGCGTGGCATATTATGGGGTAAGGCGCAGCTCCTGCACTGCGCTATACCCCTTGTACACACGTGTATACCATGTCAGCATAAGGCGCGCTTCAGGGGGTGCGCCTTATCCCACGTGGCACCAAATCAACGCAAAGCGCATTGCAGGGGCCGCACCTTTCTGCAAAAGGTGTTAGATCGGGAAATATAGTCTGAACGGTGCCTGATCGGGAAATATATTGTTCAATGGTTATATATCGGGACACTAGCCCTCGTAAAAATGCCATTTATTAAAAAATATTAATTTTGAAATTTTGTTTGTTTTTAAATTGATTAATCAGGGTCTGTTTGTTTTACTGAAAATATTTATCTAAAAACATTTTCTAAAATGAATTATATTTTATGGAAAATATATTTTGAAAAACATTTTAAGATGTTTAATAGATATTTTGTAAACCATTTTTCACTAGTTGATAATTTTTCTAAAATGTATTTATTACAAATATGAAATATAATAAATAATATTATTTATTATAAAAACTTAATATTATTATTTTAAAATATTAGAATAATTTATTTAATATTTTATGTCAATATTATTATTAAAATATTATTTTTACAATTTAATAAATAAAAATATTAAGACTAATATATTCTATTAAAATAAAATATTATAAATTATATTATTTTTATTAAAATAAAAATATTATAATATATTTTGAAAATTATTAACAAATATATTTTAAGTATTTCTATTAAAATATTACTAGACTATTATATTAACATTAAATACATAAATACTCTAATTTATTATTAATAATTCAATAATATTATTTTAAGAAATTAATAAATAATATAATTTTTAAATAATTTATTATATATTATTAAAATAATAATATTATATCATATATTATTATAATATAACTAAGTGTATTATAATAATATTAAAAAATAATATTATATTATTAAAATATTAATATATATATTAAATATTTTCATATTATTTACATTTTTTAAAATGATATTATAATATTAAATACATAAAATAATATTATTTTTAGTATTTATGTTTAAAGTGAAAAGTTAAGAAAATAACTTATGAAAAATCAAAAAATAACTCATTTTTCAAAAATTGTAAAGGAAACTCTATTGACCAGAAAAATATTTATGTCGACCAATTTATTTTCCTCTAACCAAACATAAGAAAATAAATGAAACATGTCCTGAAAAATATTTTACGAGAAATAAATATACCCTTAATCTTTAGTCTAAAACTTACAAAAAAGAATATAGAAAAAGGTAAAATACGTTAGAAGCTATTGAATTATGTTTAAAGTAATAGTTTAGTCATTAAATTTTAAAAAATATAATTAAACTATTATAAAATAATTTATAATTATTAGATTTTATTACACTATAAAAAATGAACATAAAATTTTATTAAATTATTATAAAATAACTATTAAAGCTTATAAAAATTTTATACTTATTATAATACTTTAATAATTATTTTATGTTTTTTAAAAATATAATAGCTAAAATCATCATTTAAAATATAATTGAATAACTTGTAATATAATTTATCCAAAAAGAAAAGAAAGTTGACCCGTCACATGCTGTGCCTCAAGTGCCTCTTATATTTTGAATTGGCCCCACTTACATGGATACAAGCCCCACCATGGACCCCATAAAATAGTTACAGCGTGTTAAGAACATTCCTTTATCAGCGAGTGGGAACTCAGCCCCGCTTTTTCTGTCATCCTCTCTTTCTTTGCTTCTTCTCATGAAAAAAATCTCCATCTTCCCACTCTCCCTTTATTTTCTTCTTATTTATTTTTTTCGCTTTTTTAGGTTTCTGCTGGGTCCCAAAACCTGCCATGCCCAGCAATCTAACCTTTACTTCTGCTTGTTATTAAATCTTACCCCATTACTTTTCACTCCCTCAAATTCTTCCCTCCCTCTTGGGTCTTTTCTCTGCAATCTTATTTCTTCTTCTCTGCTCTTTTCCTTTATGTTTTTTTCACATGGCGGAGGTTTTAGACGACGGTGAGCTCTGCCTTCCTCCTCGATTTTTAACTGACGACGACCTGTTCATGGACAAGGGTGAAGTTAAGAGTACTAACCACAAGGATCTGGAGAATGAGTTTAGGTTGGACCTTGATGGTTCCAACAAGCCTTTGTTCACCTATGAGTTCGCTCACGGGTTTGGGTCTCTTGGTTTCGCTTCGGATCCAAGTTCTCCGGTTGACTCAGTGGTGGGTTCTACTGAGACAGAGAGTGACGAAGAGGATTATCTCGTTGGGTTAACTCGTCAAATGGCTCACTCTACTCTCGACGACGGTGTTCCCCGAAACGGCCGTACTTTTGCTTCTGAAAACCCTAAGGTTTGTTGACGAACTAAACTCTAAACTTATTCGCTACGTTATTTGATTTATGGATGCTTTCTTATTTTTGTCTTTTTTGGGCTTTTTTAGGGTTGGGGTTTTTCAAGTTCGCCGCAATCTACCTTATGTCCGTTGAAGAGCGGATGCGGTTGCATGCAAGGGTCTAGCCGTGGGGTCTCTACTTTTCCGTCTCGAATTTCGTCGCCGCCGGGAATATCTGATCTGCTGTATACGGCGGCAGAGGAAGTTGCTAGAATGCGAATGACGGAAGAAGCTTACAGTGGGCTCAACAACAGAGGCCCTTTACGTTCACCGGGGGCAATGTTCTCTCAGAACGTCGATTTTCCTGGCTTGTACCCATCTCCTCAGTCACTTTCTCACCAGAAGCTGCAGGCCGCTCGAGTACAAACCTCTAAACAGAGCCTGAAAATGCTTGGTTCAGTTTGTTATTTTCTGCAGTATTTAAATATGGTCGGTTTTTTGTTTGCAGTTTCAGATTCTGAAGCAACATCTGCTAATGAAACAACAAAAGAAACAACAGCAGCCGCACTACCATCCCCATGTTGTCCAAAGCAGAGTGAGGAGTAAGAATGGTGCTAATAGGCCTATGGGTTTGTTTCCCTCTGGATGGTCCCCTCTGCAGCAGCAAAACCAGAAGCCAAACGGGTCGGGTATGCGGACTGTTTTCTTGAGCAATCCAACTGGCAAAAGGGAATGTGCTGGAACTGGTGTCTTCTTCCCTCGCCGTATTGGTGCACCTCCTGAACCCCGCAAGAAGCCAGGTTTCTTACCGCACGTTATGTTTTGCATATGAACTGCATTAATTTATTTGGATTTGTTCAGTAATTTTGTTTTATTATCTTGATTATTTTAGCTGCTTCTCCTACTGCTCTGCTTCCCGCTAGAGTGGTTCAGGCCTTGAACTTGAACCTCGATGGGATTGGCGCTCAACCCCAGCTTCATCCTCCGTTGAACCCAAATTCTACTGCTGACACTGGTACATAATCATGTGAATCTAATAAAGTTTTCTGTACTTTGGATTTTTTTTTTTGACTTTGATCTATATTTGCAGATGCTGCTTTGAAACTTCGAAGTCGTGGGAACGTGTTAGGCAACCAAAAGCAACGCAATTTCAGGCAACAAGGAGTGAATCATGAAGTAGGGTTACCTCTGGAATGGACGTATTGACTCAACTTTAGCATATCTGCTAGTGGTTGACTAATTCTCTCTGGGTTTTTTTTGGGAGTTATTAGGAAGAAGGGAGAAAGATGTTAGGGTTTGGTTATAGTGAAATAGTATAGAAAGTATAGGTTTTTAAGAAAGAAAATCTCTGGGTTATCAAGAAGAATATGAAATGGTTATTTTGGTGAAAAATAATGTAAGGTCTAGTTTATGAAGCACAGCTTTTGCTTGGGGCCAAGGGGAAAGCACATAAAGTTTAGGCTTTTGTAAATCTGGGATTTGGGTCAATAAGTTGACAGTGAAAATGTTCAATGAAATGAATGGGAACAGTATTTTGTCCATCTTCTGCACCTCATGAGCCCTACTACACAGCACACGGGTGATCTTATGTCCCCTTTACAATTGCCAAGTAATAAAATATAACAGATTTGCCATTTATTAACTATTATGGTGTAAGATGGTCTTATATTTGATGAATTGGTTAAATAATGTCTGGTAGATAGAATTTTGCATCTGTGCTGTGCCCTATGCAGCTGCTGGAATTCTCCATTCTTCGTTATTCATATTCTTAAAAGGCTCAATGGGTAATTAACAGTAAAATATTGGGTAAATTATACAGATAATACCTTATTTTGGTCTTCGATTCAAAAATAAGAGTTATTTTGATCCTAGTTTGTTCGATTTTTAGACCCTTGGCAATTAAAAAATAAAAGTAAGCCTAAAAATTTCACGTCTTGTTCCTCCTCACATCCTCTCTGACAACGTTTCTTTACATATAGTTTATCCATGGCAAAGAAGGGTTCGTCTTCTTCACATCCTCTTTGATCATCATTTCTTTACATATAGTTTATCCATGACAAAGAATGGTTGTCTTTGCGTTGCCCATCAGAATATACATAATGTAAATACTTGAGTTCAACCGAGTTAGCCCATCCCCTAACTCACCAAAAGCATCAGTCGAATTCTCTCTTCCACCCATTTTCTCAGACGCTTTCTGATTCAAGCTTCCTCCTGTTGAACTTTTATTCTTTTACCGACTAAACGCCTTAAACCTCGCTTGTTTCAACTAGGAAATCCTCCCCAAACTCAAGCAATCTATTTCCCTCGCTCTCCTTCATTACCTCCCCCTCCTCAGCAACCTCAAGTGACCTTCAAATGCCCCAAGTACACCCTGGGCGACGGAGTTCCATTTACGGTTACTGAATCTGATGCTGACTTTAACCTTCTTTCAAGCAATGGAGTCTACGAAGTTGTTGAGTTACACCCTTTGACACCTGAGCAGATAACATTGGATGATTCAACATCAACTTTTCCCTTTTCCCTAACACTTTGTTTTGCGTTAGAATCGTAGCTCACCATATTGTTCTTGACGGGAAATTCAGAAGCATGTTCATCAAATCTTGGGCTTAAATGGCAAGCAAGGTAATCCAGAAAACTCAACTTTGCCATCTGGCACCCGGGCTAACCCCTGTTTTGAACAAGACTGTTTTAAGAGATCCCGGTGGACTCGACGTGATATATTTGAAGACTTGGTTTGACATTATGGGTTCAGATTCAGATACTGCCAAGAAAAGCCTAAAGGTTTTACCGGACGGAGGATAACCTGCAAATCTAGTTCGAGCCACGGTTGAGATTACTCGAGAAGATTTGAAGAAATTAAGAGCAGGGCAATTGCCAAAGTTACCAGATACTGGGAAAGACCTTCATTTATCAACTTTTGTGCTTACATATGCTTACATAGCGACTTGCAAAGTGAGATCTAGAGGAGGAACTGGTGATAGTGTCGTTGCTTTCAGATTCACAATCGATTGCAGGCCACGATTAGACCCTCATGTTCGGGAAAACTATCTCAGAAACTGTAACACAATTACAGCAGATTTCGCCAAAGCAATAGATTTCTTAGATGAAAACGTCATCTTTCGGTGTTCAAAAGGTCAGTAGCGTAGTTAAACAAGTGAAGGAGAACAGCGTTCTTCAAGGAATGGAAAATAAATTGCCGTTTCTTCTCGAATTTTACGAGAGATTAGCAATAAACCATGTACAGGCTATTAGTGTTGCAGGGTCACTGGGATTTGGAGTTTATGTTTCAAATTTCGGATGGGGCAAGTCAGTGAAGGTGGACATTGTTTCCATTGACAAGAATGAAGCTGTATCATTGGCTGAGCCAGAAACAGGGGCAGTGGGGCTGAGGTTGGTTTGGCGTTGAAAAACATGAAATGGAGAAATTCTCTTCTTTCTTTTTTAGTTGAGTTTTAACAGAAGGGCGGCAAAATATGTTTTAGTTCATAAAATGTACTAAAGGAAATGCCTATATTCAATGATTTACTATTAGGGTGCGTTTGGTTCACGGAATGTAAGATTATCAGTGGAAATAAAAAGATTACTAGGGAATAGAATTACTGAGAATGTTGTATTTTATGTTTGGTTAGTTTAGCAGGAATGTAAGATTACCGTGTTTGGTTAAAGGAATAAAAGATTATTAGAATGTATATTTGACCAAATTATCTTTATTATATATTTATATAATATTACAAGTTGAAAAATATTTATATATTCTCTTTAAAAAAATTAAATTCATATAATTCATATAATTTTTTTTACAAAATTAAAAATATAAAAAAATGTTTAATGAAAGGGTAAAATTTTATTTTAACCCTTGAACTTCATATAAAATTTTAATTATAGATTTTTTTTGTAAATCTAAAAATTTTAAGGATAAATTTGTAATTTAACCTTCGTATAATTTTTATTATTTAATGACAGAAGAATTATATTTTTTAAAAAAATTAAGTGCATTTTAGTCCAAAACGACAGTAATGTTACAATACATAAGGGAATTGAGGTAATGACATTCCCGATAATATACCCAAAAAAATATACTATTAGTAATAAAACATTACCGATAATGACATTCCCGGCCAAACCAAAAGGGATTGTGAATTCCATTCATGGGGAATCCCATATTAGTCCATCCAAACGGCCCTTAAAGAAAATAAAAAACACCTCATCTTCACGCCCAAAACATCAATAATAATGGATTAATGTAGGATCGTCGGTGCAAATTTGTTGAAGAAAACAGAAAGATAAGAATCATTATCAAGCTAAATATGAGGTCCAACATATGAAGATTTTAGCTTCCGGATTTAATTTGGAAGAAGAAGAAAACACTTGTTTTATTTTTTAAGTATCAATTAAAATTTGCGTTAATGAGTTAACGGTTAAGATATTAAAATTGAACGGATTAATAATGTAAAAGATTAATTTTATTTTTAAATCCATAATCAAAACTGTTCAGATTAAAAATATAAGGGACCATTTATATGGTTTATCCTAAATTATTAGAGTAAAAAAAAGAAAAATATGATTTTGGCGGCGTTTTTCTCGAAAAATCATCGGTGACCGGTATATTTATCGATCTAACACCGGTCAGACTATATTTCTCGATCTAACAGCCTTAGCAGTAAAGTGCGCCCCCTGCACCGCACTATAAGCTGATTTGGCGCCACGTGAGGTAAGGCGCGCCTTATGCTGATATCGATACACGTGTGTAAAGCGTGACCCCTGGGGCGCGCCTTACGCCATGTAGGGGTATAGCGCGGGACAGAGGTCGCGCCTTACCTTTAATTCTGATTTATATATAGCGCGGGGCAGGGGCAGCGACATACCATTAACTGATATAATTATATAAGGCGCAGTGCAGGTATCGCGCCTTGTAACTTTTCCCAGCTATAAATATCCTTCTCCCCGATTAAGTTCCTCACATCTCCTCACATCTCTCCTCTCAACTTATAAATTAATACAACAATTCCGTCAACGAGTCAATAATTCTAATAATTTTCTCATATTTTATTCAGAAGTTCATTCGATTTTTCGTTATAAGGTAATTTTGTGATAAATATTTTTATTATATTTATTGTTTATTTTGATTATTTGAAAAAAATATTATACTAATTGTTGTCAATTAATTTCTGTGTTTGTAAAATTAGAAAGCGAGAATATACGTCCAAATAGTTTTGCGGTACATGTAATAATATAAAATTATATTATTTAAATTATTTACGTTTATGTGTAAAAATTATATTCTGTTATATTTTCGTTCATATATTATTTATTTAATCAACATTGTTTCAGTTATTTTTTTTGCATATATAATATTGTCGCACTTTTAAACTCAAAGAATAGCGCGACTTTCAGCTATTGTTTATTATGATGGTGAAATTCGAGAAGATGAAACCGGCGTTGTTTTCGTATCAAATGAGCATGTTAAAATATCATTAAAGAGAAACATAACTCTTGAGGAGCTGATAACGAAGATTTCGAGGAAGATTCATGTTGGAAGTAGTAGAAGAATGTTGCCGTTGCAGTACAGATTTCCAACATCATTGTTGTCATTAACTTATACATCGTTCGAACTTTTGAACAATGATGATGTTGAAATGATGGTTGAAGCTCAAAGTAATTATTCAGACGCCGATATTAAGATGTATGCAAATTTTATTCAAGTGCGTGTCGTTCGGGGTCAATCATTAAGCTCCCACTATGGGCTGGCTGAACAAGTTTACAGCCCGACGACAGTAATGTGTAATGATTTTAATGCCATAATGGGGAGACATTCATCTGCAACTCCTTACGATATGTATCGAGGTGGGTCGACGAACAATCCGTATGGCAACATCGCGTCCAGTTCAAGGGGAAGGCATTCATCTGCAAATTCGTTTGACCTTAATATGGAGATGCCATCGACGCAACCATATGTGCAGTTTCCATTTGACACGATGACTTCAAGCTCTAGGGGAGGCATTCGACTGCGAGCTTTTTCGATCTCAATGTCGATATGCCTTCTAGTTCAAGGGGAATGCGTGCAAGTAGTAGGTTTTTCGACCTAAATGTCGAGCGCATTGAGGAACCATCATCTCCACCAGAAGAACCGCTTCGTGAGCCTGGTGCGGATGGTGCTGAGACTGGACTATTCATTCACCCAGAATCACCACAATTCAACTCTGATGATGATGAAGTTCCAAGAAATGTGGCACAAACTGACCCTCTTGCACACATGTATGAAGCTAATTATGGTGCAATGTACGGGCCAGAATTTGCGGATATGCCTCATCTCGGTGACTATGGATATTACTCATCAATAAATAATGGTGAGTTATCTTTAGGCATGGAGTTTTCAAGCAAAGAAGAAGCGGTGATGGCTATAAAAAATTACAATATCCATAATTATGTTCAGTCCAGAGTCAACCGATCCACGACCGAAAAATATGTATACTACTGTGTTCGACGCGAAAACGGATGCAATTGGATGGTTCGCGTATCGAAAAGGAAGAGAAAAAACAAC